AAGCTCAGAGAACCCCAAGGACTCCACAGTTCAACCCTGAGCTACACATATTCTCTTCCATGGTTGACCACTTTCAGAATGATGGAGGAAGTTATGCCTTCTAGCCTGTGAGCCTCAAAAACCTAAGCAGTAAAATGTGTCTGCCGTTAAGGTGACAGAAGATATTTTTTTATTTTTGTTGCTACAGAATACAGCTACTCCTCTGTAAACTACCAAGCAAAAGGTGCGAATTTTTGTTTTCCTCAGGATTTTCTCCTGAACTTTAAAAAAAAGTCATGGGAAAAGACAGGGAAAATTGTTATGGATGGAGGAACATACTACAAATAAGGCAGGGAGACCACACAGTGTGAACCAGCCTTTTCTGAAACCTCCTTACAGTACTAGAGCCCTCCTGTGTTTTTCTTTTTCCTTTTTTCCTTTTTTCCTTTTTTCTTTCTTTCTTTTTTTTTGCTGCTGCTGCCAGAGATCTGTCAGAGAAGAAACAAAATAAAATAATTGCACAATGTCTTTTGGGCGATAGCACAAGGAGCTCTCTGTCTTGAAGCACCTTTTGTAGTAAGAAAAACAGACTGAAGTGGAAGTGAGAAAATACAGAAAAGAGATTGTTGATGGAAGTATCCTGACATCTTGACATTGCATAATGTCTGAAGCAGGACAACAGCACAAGAAAAGTCTATGATGAAAGTACCCTGATTCTGCTGTCACTGAAAATAGATAACTTGAAATGAGAGGATATAAAAACTTGGAAAATTGGTTTGCAACATTTTACTTGCGTTATTCCTTTTTATTCAGTAGCAAGAAGCACATAACATAGCAGATTTTTTTAAAAAGCTCTCTGCCCTGGAAATAGTGCTAAAAGCATCTTCTGATAAAAGGCACAGGTAAAAATGCCTTAAAAAACAAAAAAAAAATTGTCAGTAAAAGTACTGCAATCTTGGAGTCAGTTTTAGCCAGCCATGCACTGCACTTTTTAAATGCCATTTAGTAATACTGGGACATTTTCTGATTATTGCCTTCATAAATTGAAATTAAGCAGTCCCTAAGCCTGGGTTAATAAATTAAAGGTATATGATAGAGGAAGCTGCCTGAAGCCAAGCAGATCTGTACCTGAACAGTCTGGGCAGCTGGGAAACTGCAGTGAAATCACCTGTCATAGGCTACAGAAAGATACTTTAACACAAATTTAAATCTGTTTTGGCCAAGCTGACCCTGCAGGTTGAATATTTGAAAACTTATGATTTATAAAATAATTTTGGAGAAGTGCACGTACATCTTTAGATCACTGTTTCTCAACCTTGGCACTTTAAGATGTGTGGACTTCAACTCCCATAATACCCCAGCCAGCATGCTGGCTGGGGAATTCTGGGAGTTGAAGTTCACACATCTTAGCTGCCAAGGTTGAGAAACACTGCTTTAGATAAACAGAGTTGTAATCTAATTAAATGCATTTAGGTGATTTAACTCGATGGACTAATTCATGTAAACTTGTTTTTATAATGCACATGCATTTTGTAGGCTTTTCTTATGCAGGAACTCTTTTTTCCAAGATGATATTTGCTACTGCAAGTTTTTATCTATTTTTTTACAGCTCCCTAGTTAGATGTAGCTAGTTATCATATTAAATATACCACTGTAGGGTGAAAAATCAGCTCCAAGGTGGATTATTGAGAAGCATGGTAATATTAAAATGATGGCAGCACCAGCCAAGCTATATAACACATTTCCTTTATTACTTTTATTGCTTGCTAACTCCCTTTCAAGGTAGAGTCTGGTGGAAGCCCTCAATCAAGGAGAAGAAATTAGGGACAAGAGTGACTAAGGAATAAAAAAAAAATGAAAGCAGTTTCTGGACATGGCTTTTTATACCTGTTATAGACTGAGCAGGACTTTCTCTAGGTCTCAGCCATAAATATATTTTAAGATGCATTTCACTATCCCTCTTGAGTCTTCTCAAGAGATTTTCCTCTGTATCTATGCATCTGAGTGTTTTCTTCACTCCGGCTTCTGTCAGTCAAGTTTCTTTTCTTTTCTCTTCCCTGAACTAACTTTCTAAGTAGTTTAAGATTTCTCCCAAATTCAGGCTCTGAATCATTTTAAAGACTTCCATCTACCATTGAGCCTTCTGTACCCAGAGAAGGCAGCCAGATCAACAAAGCAAACAGAAAAGACATCACCCATCAAACGTGTGGAAAATCTCTCAAAATATCAAGAATTGTGTGGCTTTCCTTTCTCCACAGAAACCATGACCCAAATAATTATTATATAACCCTGAAAGAATAAATCCATACTTGATTTACAGCAATGGTTATGTGTTATTTAACAATATTTGAAGAACAAAAGAAGATGGCTTTTGAGGAATCCGGCCAATTTTCGAGAGAAGTTGTTTTGTTTACAACATAATTTACTGGGCCTTTTTGCTTTTCTTCCTTTAGTTTTAATTTCTATTACACTGTTAACACAAATGTATTTTTTTCTGTCACTAAAAAGCAGCACTGAGGAAACCCCATGCCCAAATAATGCAAAGCAAAACATGCTCTTTTCTCTCTAGATATGCCAACTGCTGGGAAATGACTACTTGAAAAAATAGCTGCTGTTAAGCATAGGAAGAAGAAATAAGCTTGTTATATATAAAAAAAAAAAACCTCTTACAAGCCAGTTTGGTCTAGCGGTTAAGGCACCAGGTTAGAAACTGAGAGACTGTGAGTTCTAGTTCTGCTCTAGGCACAAAGCCAGCTGGGTGACTCTGGGCCAGTCCCTCTCCCTCAGTCCCAGGAAGCAGGCAATAGCAACCACTTCCAAAAATGTTGCCAAGAAAGCTGCAGGCAGTTGCCTGGAGTCAAAACTGACTCGAAGGGACAAATTTCCTTTTGTGAGAGACAGTTTGGTGTAGGGGTTAAAAACACCAGGCTAGAAACCAGGAGACCAGGAGTTCTAGTCCTGCCTTAGGCACGAAGCCAGCTGGGTGACTTTGGACCAGTCCCTCTCCCTCAGTCCCAGGAAGCAGGCAATAGCAACCACTTCCAAAAATGTTGCCAAGAAAATGGCAGGGACTTGTCCAGGCAGACACCAGGCGTCAAGATGGACTTGAAGGCACAAACAACAACAACACAAAGGCTGTTGCTGAATAGCATTGTCCTTTGAGTAAGTATGCTGAGAAACAGATTGGAAAGAGGTCTGCCCCAAAGGAAACTTGAGCTTACTGTCTTAGCAGTCAGATGCAAAAGGCCCTTTGCAAAGTTTAGTTCAGT